AAAGAAACAAAAATACGTATAGAAAAAAAACCCAAGATGAGGTACCTGCTCATCGTCCTCTTCCCCATCCAGTACCACGCAGTGATAAAGCATTCCCGACTCAGTGGCAATCACCAGGATGTTTGGAACACAAGGCAGGCAAAGGACAGCACAGGCATCATAGCCGTAGTTATCTTCTGCAGCAGGGTGCATGGGCAGAGGGCCAAGCAGCTTGCCAAGGTTTCCAGTGCTGGAATAAAGCAGAGGTGTTCACAACGCAAAGTGTGGAAGGAGCGTTTCCCCGTGGCTGCCAGCGGGAGTTTGTTGGACAGTAACTACAAAATAAAGATGACTAAAAACACCCAGCCAAAACCCGATGGTTTGGAGTTCTGTTGAATTTCCATTAGATAGTAGCAACCCAGACTTCTGCAGATGAAGTCTCTGCACTACACCTACTTGGTGGAGATCTCACAAAAGAAATTGGAGCTCAGTAATAAGGTTTTTATGCTTTGAAAGCAACCAAGCTACATTTCAACAAATTCAAGAGGAAACGTTTTCATACAAGAACACAAAGTACTCACGGAAAGCTCAAGTTAATTATCACTTAGTTGTTTTCTTGCTTAATAAAGCACTTTCCAAGCAGCATTTTGTGGCCTGGCATTTCTCTAAGTAGAACTTTTGAAGGACTAAGCCTATTTCATTGCCTACAGACAGGATCTGCTCAAAGCTGCATCATTTCTCATGCAAACAGTGCTGTTTCTAACCTAAATACCACATGTTTTAATACACAGTTACACTAGATCTAACTTGTAAGTTTTCCATCACCTTTGAATGGAAAGTTATTTTTTCTTGTATTGTGTTTATATTCTTGATCCGTATTCTTGACCTTTCATTACGGAACATGCCCGCAAACCCTCTATGACCTTGAAATATTTCTGTTCCTAAGATGCCACGGGCTCTTTCAGCCTCACCCAAAGCTAAGAATGTCTGCGCTGTGAACTGAAGGCCCCAAAATACACCTAGGAAACAGCCTTAGACCCACTGATCTTTTAACAGTCCAGTGTCTTCACTTCAAATTTCTGATTGTAAACAATGGACAGTGGATTCTCAGCAGTGCAAACTGCACCCTTAATGTCTGGATGAAAAAGGATGACACGCTATTCTTGGGTTTCAGTCTATCACTACTGCCACAAAGAGCTAAAACAGGCTGCAGTGCAATGAAACTCAGCCCAGCCTCCATTACAGAGTCCCAGCCAAACTGAGAGGTGGCTCTCCAACCCTAACACTGTACAAACATACAAGCGCCCCACGAAACCCGAGGATGAATGCAAGCCTACCTCTGTAGCAGGCTGATATATGTGAGGAACGTCTCTCCATTTTCATATAAAATGTAAAGTGGGTAGGCCAACACTTCTTCACTCCCGCGCTGCCCAAGAATGTTCTTTGGGACCGGCACTAGCGGGCCGAAGTCAAATGCCACCGCAGTCTCTCCCAGCGATGCTGTGTAGGCTCTCCTAGGGACAAGTCAGAACAAGACCTGCAGTCAGCAGTGACTGTGACAACACCCGTGTTGAACTAGGTCCATCGGTACGTGCTGACAAGTTACTGCTAAACACTCGTCCCATCAGTCCTTCAACATACGCTATTTTCAGCAGCAAAAGCATGCACGTAACATCCTTCTTACGGTACCTCATTTCTGCAATACACCCGCCAGGCAGCCCAGTTTCACAGGATAAAAGAGGCGGGTGTACTGGTGTTCCCTGCGTAGCGCATCAGTCTGTGACTTGACTACTAGAGACCCCCAAGTTTTCCCTTTCCGACTAGGCTAAGAGGGAAATAAAAAGATGATCTATTTTCTGCATTCCCCACTCAGAGAGCCGTTCTTAACCCCATCTTAAAGACAATGTGTATTTTTCAAACGACTGCTCTGACAAACACTCGACTGTACAGTTTGTTACCACTTTCTTTTAGAAGGATGGGAAAAAAGAAAAAAAAAAAAAGTGCAGTTACTGTGCTAGGAAGAAGTCCAAGGACTGAAGTCCATGAAAAAAAAAAGCACATCAGATTTTCAGGTAGATTTATCACTTATTCATGAAAAACACAGCTGAGAATACAGAGCTTATTCTGTCAAAAGCATTTCAAAATACAAGAAGCCACACAAACCCTTTTTTGATTGTAAGAGTCTCCTCCTCAGTGTCTGAAAGAGCAACCACTTTGATGGGTGTCTGAGGCACCTTCAGACTGTAAAACCTAGAGGAAAGAAACAGCAGCAGCGTTCATTCAGCTGGCAGTGTTGCACATGTCCCTGCTAATGCAGGAACATCAAATGGTATCAGTCTAAAGTTTCTTCCATCCTATTTTTTATTGGTGATCCTGGTAAGAATGGCAGGACATTTTATCTAGCGAAAAATCAGACTGGCTATGACAAAAAAATTACTTAGATAATCAGCTACAAACAGGTTTTACCTTATAGTGTTATCTGAAGTCAAAAGCACAATATGGGGCTCTAATGTCTCGCAGGGGTACCAGGCAGCATGCTTTAAAGTCAGAGATGTTGAGCTTGTGAAGAACCTTTCCGCAATAGGAACAGTGCTGAAATACAGAGCAGAAGCATGCACTGTTACAAGAAACACAGAAGTTACTTCGAAAGGGAAGTGGGGGCAAGAGGAGCTAGAAACCCAATTAAAAGGTTTCAAAGCCATTAGCTGTAGTATTCTTAAAATTGGAGGGACAGCTTTAACTTGAAGCCCTTTGTTATTTCCATCTGGACGTGTGCTTTTAGCTACCACAGCTAAAAGACCCCAGAAAGGCTAGAGACTACTACAGAGGAGCACCTTGCTCCTCAGCATTTGCAACAAGTTTAGAAGGTTGTTTATTTGGGTCAATTGACGATCAGCAAGTCCCTGACCCAAAATAGCTTCATTTGTGATTGTCCCTACAACCCCGATAAAACCAACGTCTTCCGTATCTGTTTGGCCCCAAGAGAGGAGAGGCTGTCGAGGAATGGCGGCAGGACAAGGATGTCGTTAGCCGCCTGAGGTCTCACCCACCTACAGTTCACCGTGGATTTCCCACCTTCAAACTCTGAATTCTTCCCCCAGCGTTTAGGCAGCTCCAGCACCATGAGCCCCTTCGTACCGATGAGCGCCACATGATGCTGCGTGGGGCTTAACAGCGTCTGATAAACCTCAAAAAGGGGTGGGTTTATGCAGATAAGGGTCTGAAAAGACAAACGTTACAGTTAAGCACAAGCCGTCGAAAGCGCTCACAGAAGCCTGCCGTACCTTCACTGTGGACGGTGATTTATACAGCGGCTACAAGGCGCAGGATGAGGCAAACCCTTGCCTCCGGCCACAGCGCCGCACCGAGCCGACGGGTTTCACTTGAGGAAAGACCCACCGAC